CGTTAATAAACTAAATTTTCAAAATCAATATTCCAAAAATTGTCATCAAGATAAACATCTACATTATTTAGATTTTTAATTATTTATTTAGATTTAATTATTTTATTTAGATTATTAAGATTTACATACATCTAAATTATTATTATTTTAAAAGAATAAAGTAAAAATTGTTTTTAAATATTTTTTATAAAATATTTTTATGTAATAATTATGTTAGTAATAATATTCATTATAAATAATAAATATAACTTTTTTAGATTATCAAAGAAAAAATAAAAATTACTGATAATGAATGAAATGTACACATGTCACACGACAATAAAATTGTACTTTTTTTGCAAATCATTTCGACAATAAAACAGATTAGATTAGACTTTATAAAATGTAAATTTTTTTTTAGATATTACCAGTGTCAACAATCATCATTCAATATCTCTATTCTGATAAAATATGGGTTACAAAATTAACAAGTTTCAAATCATAAAACAATATGTGAGTATAATTGATTTCCTAATATATTTCAATGTTCTATATTTAACGTGTCGCATATTGATTAAATACAAAATGAGAATCAATAATCGACAAAGACGCACAACTATTCGTTTTCCACGGGAAATCGAATAATACTTTCCAATTGAATAGTAAAAACAGAAACAATAAAAGTCGCATTGGATAGTGCAATAATGGCACAATCGATAACGATTGTCACAGTTAAATTAATATCAATTCTTCTCCATTTAATCTCTTTATTTCTTTCGAATTTTCTATAGAATTTTTTTCGATTGTAAGAAGCGATATAAAAATGAAAAATAGAAATGAAAAAAGAAAAAGAAAATTTGATGAAAAAATCAATTTAACATTATAATATTATAAAAAACGAATAGCGATACTAATCTCCTTTCGTTTTCTTTTTGTTTTCTCTTCTTTTTACCTTTTATTATTAATTTTCGCGGAATTTTGAATTTCTCTATCAAAGAATATAATTATTTATTAAATAAAATGCGACAATCATAATAGAGATATTAATTTTTATTTTAAGATATTAATACGTGATAATTAATTTTGTGTCATAAAAAACATTTTGTCAAATACTAAATTATGTGATATATAGAATGAGAAAAGAAGAAAAAGAAAAAGAAATTTTTTCGCATAATATATTTTTTTTTAATATTTAGATAAGAGAAAGAAAGAAAACTTAAAATAATATTTCAATACATTTTATCGCTATTTATCGCAATTTATACAGAAGTTGAAGAATGTTATCGTTTCGATTGTCGACATCATTTTATTGGGTTAGAAAAATTCGCATTAAATATTTGAACAAATATTTCTGTCAAATCATTATAAAAAAAGTTAGAAAGTATTTAAAGCAGATGAAAATTTAAAAAATGATACTAGTAATTAAAATAAACTCAAAAATTGATATATAAAAATCTTGGAGTTTGTATTATTATATTATTTGAAGTTTAATATTAATATTATTTTTCAAATTATATTTTATAGTTATAATTTAACTTTACATTATATGAAAATCAGATAGTCCTCTTTCTATTTCGTTTTATTTAATACAAAAAAAAAAAATTATTTAAATGTGCTTGATAAACAAGTTAATGAATTTTAATAAATATATTAATTTTTGTATTTCTTTTAATCTCTAAAATCATCCTTTAAATTTCCTATCAAGTTTATTTTTAACTATCGATTATCAAAATATTATCGATAAATTATCGATAGTTTTTAATATAATTATTAAAATTTAATTATATCATTAAAATATCGCGTACAAATAGAATTTTTATTTTTATTTTTTATATTTTTATCTTCAAAGTTATTATTAAAGTAAAAAAATAATATATTGAAAATAAAAATAAATAAAATTGAAATTATATTGAAATTATATTATATTATTTCAGCCATTTGTATTTTATGTCATTAATATATAAGGATATTTTAAATATATTAAAAATTCGATAAAATATTATTAATTTATAGATAATCATTATATAATATCATATATATAATATATAATAAATATATAATAATATTTCTAATAATAACTTTGAATAAAAAAAAATAAAAATTTTAATTATTTTTATCTGTTATTATTTTAACATATAATATTATCAATATATCGAATTATCAATAACATATTATTAATATTATTGATATTTATAATGATATCAATAATATCTTTGAATATAAATATTTGTATCAAATTTGAAGAAATCATAAAATACTATTTTTAATAATAAATAAATAATTCTATTTATTTTGAAGAATTTTGTAAATGAAATATTTTGACGTAATATGTTTTTAAAATTATTTAAAAATAAATATGTATTTGAAAATAATATTTTATTTGAAAAATAAAATTAATTTCAATTGTAATATTTATTTTAAATATTACTGCTTAAGAAATAATGATACAAATTCAATACATTTATAAATACAAATAATTTTTTATTATGTACTATGTACTGAAAATCATGATAAATTGATTGAATAATTTTTCTAAAATAATTTTTCTATTTTAAAATATTTTAAAAAAAATTTACACTTTAATTTCTTTTAATATCTCGACAATAGAAATTCTTAAATTTTAGATCAAAGAATAAATCGAATCATATCAATCCATCGTATTATTATGATCAATATATATATGACCAATATTTTAAGAAAAATTAAAATTATTTTTTTAGAAATTTATTTTTTTGTTAGATTATTAGAATAAAATATTTTAATTTGTTATTCAAATTTTTAAAATGAAAATATTTGAATTACCGAAATTTTACATTTTATTTAAAATATCATTTTATTTAAGATATTAAATATTATTATTAAATAGTATGTGAAATATTTATTTTGCCAAAAATTACATGAGACTGACTCGAAGCGACGTAAAAGAAAAGGGATCACGTAGGAGGAAAAGGAGGATTAGATAGAATGAAAAATCTTTTGAAAGAGTGAAAAGCTCATAATCACCGAGTTGCTCGAAATTTTTTGTTTTTAATGCTCGATTGTTTCAGGAGATACAAGTTGCGAAATGTCGAGGTAATTGTCCGGCATTTTTAAGAATATACTATCTTATTTACAAGATTGAGCCACGTGAATTTTATGATATATTTTCGTTGCAAATTTGTTAATCAAATTTTTTGATACGTTTATATATTGTGGATCATAAACAAGTAAAGTGAGGAATATTCTATAACTTGAAATAAAATATAAAATAAAAATTTTATAATTGCATTGAATATTTTGTTTTCCTGAAAAATATCTAAGGAATAAAACACTTTTTAAAACATTAATAATTTTTTAAATTGAATTAAAATTGAATAACTTTAAAATTAAACCAAATGACTTGAATTTTTTGAAATATTAAAAAAATTAATTTATTAAATATTATAATATATTTTTAGAAGATTTTTTAAAAATTGCTATTGGAATTGTAAAAAAATAAATAAAAATAATTTTTTAATTATTAATACTTTTTAATTTTTTTAATTTGAATTTATAATAAAGATTTAGAGCTTTTCTAAATCTAAATAAATTATATAAATGCACAAAGTTCGAATTAAAATTAATTGATGCATAAAAAAAAAACTAAGTAAGAATCGAAAAATATATAAATTTTCAAATCTATAAATTTTAGAATGTTTATCGTAAAAAAATTTGAATTTGAATATTTTTGATTTTACAGTAGCAGAATTGATTCTGAAATTTTATACATGTATATTATTTATTTATATCTATCTGTAATTATTTACATCTATAAAAAATATATTTTAAATCTTCATTTAGTTTAGATAAAAAATCGTGATGTTTATTTTTTTTCTTTACAATTTCGATTAATTCGAGCAATTTTTAGAAAATATTTTACATTATTTACTAAATTAATTTTTCTAACATCTCAAATAAATTAAATCATTATTTAATTTTAAAAAAATTATTCCATTTTTTAGCATACAAATATTTTTATTCTTTACTATATTTAAAAATTAATTAATATTATATATTAATAATTGAATATTACATATTCAAATTATTAATATTCATTTTTGTACAATGTCGTTTTTATTTAAAATTTGCAATAATTAATTATTAAAAATTATCAAAAGAATTCAATCATTTATAATTTTTTCTTATGATGATATCATTAAAAATGTTTTTAATAAAATTTCAGATTAATGAAAATGTTATTACATTTTTCTTTTAAGTTTTTCATTCTCATATCATTTTGGACAAATTGAAAAATCATTTCAATAAAAAATTTTTCTTCGTTATGTGCAGTATATTACAGATTTGTTTTAAAAAAATAAACAAAAAGAATCGATTAGCTCAAATAGAAACTTTATCCAATGTTTCATTTTTAATTTTCATATCCTATTTTCGTTGCATTATTTCAAAT